CATTGTATTTGCATCACAATCTGACAATTCAATTAATCATTCAAATATACAAGACACATTTCCCCTTGATTACATGATATACCACATGCCCTAGTAGGTTGATAAACTTTCTTTTAAAGCTATTTGCTGACTCCGACTTATTGATGCAAATACAATGATAGTATGTATGCAGGTAAAACAGTATTCAATTGGATGGACGGGGAGAGAGAGAAGGTGAGAGTGGAAGGAAGACTTATCTAGTTGGTCTATCCTACATGTGATGCCTGAGGCATCCAACAGAAGTCAATGAGATAAACAAGGATATCCTTGGCAATGCGACCGACAACCAACACTGACCAAATAATGTGCATATATATTCACTGCTTGATGGAGTGAACATAAGCAGCAACCTCACCGCCAAAAATCCGGTCTCTCACAAGCTGGTCGGCCGACTCGACGATCCAAGTCTGGCAATTCCTCTGAGTGAGCCTGCTAGGCGCCGAAGTAACCTAAAGATATCATAGTCAGCTTGCGTGCTCGGGCAGGGGTGAAGTCGGATAGGATGCCGGCAATGCAACCCAACGGCCGTAAGAGTGTTTGCTGCTCAATAGATACAGTTTGGAAGAATTACCTTGTCACCAACAGCTCTCAAGGTCTTCTCGGGAACTTTGACCTTGTGTGCACTAGCTTCGAAGTAGCAAACTGGGGTCTGATCGACTTTGTATTGGCCGGAGTTGAACATAGCCTTCTCGATGAAGAACTACTTGCCAACCCACTGTAGCGGTATCCTCTTCGTTGGGAGGTTACCGGTAGCTCGGAAGTCATGATCACGCTTAATCTTAAACTGAAAGCCGTTCCTCACGTCACCGGCGGCGTGTATGAGGACACCAAGGTCCGGGTCCTGGTGAGAGCGTACCCAGTACGACCAGTGGTCTTTGAAGGGGGCACCGTTGTAGATCAGCAACTCGACAAGGAAAGCACCCGGAGGTCCTGATGGGGCAACTGCCGGAGGCAAGGGAGCCTGAGGGCGGGCCGTAGTCTGCCTGGGCCCTGGAGGGGGTGGAGGCGGAGGAGCACCTGCCTTAGAGGAGAAGAGACCCATGGTATTCAAAAAAGAGGTAAAGTAAAATGTGCTCAATGCCGACCTGCGGAAAGCCAACAATTGACAGTTTATAGATGAAAGGCAAAAGAAAAATGAACTGACTGATATACATCAAGCAATATAATCCAAGAGAAGGGAGGCCATTTATATAATCTCCGGAAGAGGCCTGTCCTATATTGAATACCACGCTCCTGGCCATAAAACGATGCTACTTTCATTATCCCCTAAGGTCTAGCGGTTACGAAAGCAAGTATTGGACGAGAAGTGCTGTTGGTGAAATTACTCTACCTGGGATTGTGGATACAGCAGGCCGGCGCTTATATTATCCCGTCTGGCGCTAGAAGCTGTTATTGGCCTGGCTAGGTCCCCCACCTTTTCACCTCACTGCCTGGCATGCCCAGCGGCAACACGTTTCTATCTCTGGACCTTACTGTCGTTTCAAGAACTCCCTTTTACTAGAAATGGATCGTCTCTCGGTTTACTTCGATTCCACTACTCTCGAAGACTGGGTCTTCCTATAACCGCCGAGACCCCTGCTTCACTTGTGTTATATCGAAGATGACGCCCGAGGGGGTTGAAGGCGATGCCGGCCTCCACGATTCAAGCCACAAAACAACAAGGACCATTTCCGGCTCCAGCTTTTTCAGGGAGCATCGGGCGACTACGCTCCCTACTCCGGCCGAGGTGAGAGTCATCAACGAGGAGTCAGGCAACATCCGTGGTACAAGGTTCAACCGACCTCCGCCTGTCAAGTTTCCATCGTTGGGCTTGATTGTCAAATATGGAGCCGACACAACAGTTACAGAAGCAGAGACCCAAAATATGGTATACAAGCAGTTGAAAGGCAAAGTACCAGTTCCTGAGGTGTTTGGGTGGACCGAAGACGGTGGCCAAGTATTTATCTACATGTCCTTGATTGGGGGCGAACCCTTGGAGCAAAGATGGGGTGCTTTGAACGATGAGGAGAGAGATGCTGTCTGTAAAGAGCTCAACGACATGGTCAAAACTTGGAGATCGTTAGAACAGCCCGACCAAGTCCTTTACGTGGGTAAGTGATCTGAATTCATTGCGGTAGCTAGGCAGAACTATGCTAAAGTACCCCTTAGGTGGCCTAGACAATCAACCTCTAAATGACATCTTTCTTTCCGGTCATCGGGATTTGGCTGGCCCATTCCACGGTGCAGACGCCGTCCAGAAATTTCAGAATGGCTGCGATATCGAGATTGATGGGGAGGTGCCCGTGGTCTTCACACATGACGACCTTGTGCCCCCAAATATCCTTTTATCGCCCGGGAAGAATCCAGTTGTAGCTGCCATCATTGATTGGGGCCAGGCAGGGTGGTATCCTGCTTACTGGGAGTATTGCAAGGCGCGTCGCGTCAGGCCAAACCCGGAATATTTTGATGAAAACTTGGATGAAGAATGGAATACGAGATACCTGCCAACTATTTTGGACCCGGTCGATGATGAGACAGTATACCACCCTTGGCTGTGGTTTGTCCTGTCCAAGGGTATCTAGTTATGCGAATGAGGATGCTCATTGGGACCATACAGCCGTGGGTAGATAGAAAATATACCTTATTCATTCTATATGTATTCTGGCCCTTAGGTTATGGGCACGTACAGTCAGGGCGACTGATTGACAATCCTACCAGGGAGGGGGAGGGGGAGGATGAAATCGACGATAGCACAGCTACTTTTGGCCTTCGAGCGACATGTTTCCCATTTCCCATAAGAACTCTGTCCTCATCTTCAGTTTGGTTGGAAAATGCCTGTTCGATCATTGGTAGTACATCTTCCCATTGCTTTCATTACGTGCAAACTCTGCAAGCAAGGGCACCTGTAATTCTTATTATATACAGTCTGTTCAGAGAGCGTTCCAAGGGTGCAGATTCTCCATCAAAAAGCCGCTTGGCTTTATTTTAGGGCCATTTATTTACCCATCCATCCATCCTAGACCGACATCAGATGGCCAAATTCGATGTTCATACCGTGGAAAAGCTTCAACTGAGAGCCCCAGCGGCTTGTTCTGCAGATGCGAGAGAAGTCAAAGGCTATATACTCAGCGGCGAGGTCTTCTCCCAGTTTGAGGAAATTGAACGACCTAGAATATGGGATCGAATGTCCATTTATGATGGGATCATTCCTTCAATTCACACCTTTTTCCACGATACTACTTATCTCGAGGCGTGCGCAACCGGCGTGCGGCAGTTTGCTGTTTTGAGCAAGAGCCAGCCAACAGTGCGAGCCGCCTTGAAGCATGCCTATAAGTCTGACACGACCAGGGGGGCATGTCTCGTGCAGACATCAGATGCGAGCTTTCGGAATCACACAGGCTCAAGCACGGATTTTTTTTGAACTCGCCTATCAACAAATCTGGTTATTTGCTATGCGTCATTACCCGGAAATGGCCAAAGATGCTACCAGCAAGAAAGTTGTCGCCAAGACCATCCGCTGAAGAGCGGACGAAGTAGTGCTCCACAATATGGCTACACTCGCACAGAAATTGGGATTTGACTCTTTACCGGTCACTGAAATGTTGAATCGTTCTCCCGACCGAAGAATTGCTCGCGAAGCTCTACTCAAGGCTCGAAAACCGGGTAGCTACCGATATGACCCCGCCACATTCGATTCACTCATTGACCGATTAGTGGAGTGTTTTGGTAGCGCGGTCGCTCACGAGGCTTTACCATTGCCAGAGCCCGTTCTTGGAAGGACACCAACGCTTTCACATCGTTGTGGTCCCCCGCTCGAGCATGTGCAGCCGATAGATCGACCTCACCTTTTCCTAGGCAAAGTGCATTCCAAAGAAGCGACAGGGCTGCAGACTATCTCCTCCTTTTTTGTGAGACAATGCGTGTATTTTGCTTTCTTTGACAAGCCTTTGACAAGGACACAAAGTCAAGACCATGATCAAGCTTCGCCTGAGCTGCTGCAAACGGACATTTCTAGATCCCCTCTGTTCGTACCAGTTGATGACCTGCCAAGCAACCCACGAGTGGTCCCAGCTACGGGATCAGCTTCACAAAGACAATCATGCCGAGAGCAACGCAAAATACGACGCCGCCGAAGAAAGGAAACTGGAAACCGGCCACACCGAGACCGGCGACAGGAAATTGTTGAAGAAATGCATCCTGCCGTTCCGGCCGATCCAGCTGACTCCACCACTGCTGATATCAACATCGTCACCATCGGACACCACCATCACAAAAGCCCTTCCATA